ATTGAGTATTATTATCTTTAGATTATCAGAGTACAAGATATAGCATTTAATTGCTCAAACAATATTCTTTTTCTTTCTTTCCCCTTTCCTTCCTTTCCTTTCTTTCTTTTTTCAAAATTTTATTTATTTATATGTGTGTGTGTGTGTGTGTGTGTGTGTGTGTGTGGCCAGCTCAGCCCACCAGGGGGAAGGGCTGGCTGGCATGTGATGCTGGGGGATTGAACCGTGGTCCCTTTGCTTTGCTAAGCTTGTTCTAAGTAGGTGCTTTAGGCCACTGAGCCATCTCACCAGCCCTTTTTTTTATCTTTTTGAGATAGGGTTTCATTATGCAGGTCAACCTGGCCTTGAGCTCACTTTGTAGCTCAGGCTGGCCTCAGACCCACAGCGATCCTCCTGCCTCAGCCTCTCGAGTGCTGGGATCACAGGCATGCACCACTATGCCTAGCTAATTATTTCTATATTTATGGTTATACTCACTCTTCCTGAACAAAAGAATATGATAAGTACTCTACTTCTCTTATGCTAATGCACCTTCCTATGAGGTAAAAATGGTGCAGAAAAACCAAAGTTATAACTACAAGAAAATGCCAGGCTCTTAATACAACCTTTGGGTAAGATGAGAGTAAACAGACTGGTAAATGGTGGACGCTAGATTTGAACTCAGATTTGTTTCACTGCTGTACTTTTTGCTACCTTGCTTTTCTTCACGGAATCCTAGATTTTGTGGCAGTTCTCAGGTTACTAAGTATGAGTGAACTGCGAATTTGGTCTTTACACTACTCACTGTTGCATGAAGTGGGTTAGTTCCTGAAGCCCGTAAGTGACACAGGATGGGGGCAGGAGGCTGGAGCAGCAGGCCACGATCGGCCAAGTGGAGGCACTGCCAACCACAAGCGCAGCACTGCAGCCCCCAAGCCTGCCAGGAGAGCCAGCTGCAGCCCAGGCCCAGTACCGACTTCTGACCGAAGAACACACTGAATCTGGCACCTGGCACGAGATCAAGTGGGACCTCCCTGGCAGGTGCTTAGACCTGTCAAAGAAGCTACTAAAAGACGGCAGCGCGTGAGTTGGCCGCGTTATCCTCTTGCCTTTGCAGTGGTCCATTTTTTCTTTTTTCTTTGAAGTATCCTTTTCTTTTCTAGCATTTCTTTTGTGTTCCTTGTCTTTTCCTCTTATCAGAAATAAGAAGACCAGAGTCTAAAATAAGCAGCAGTGGTGGTTCACATTTACCAATTGTCCTAACCACTTTATTGAATGGGACAATAAGAACTTGGAAAAGACTGCGGATCCCTACTCTATCTGGGTCCAGTGCCTAGCACGTAACAGGGACTCCCAAATGTCAGATAGTATCACCAAGGAGTACACAAATCACAACACTGCTTTTCATCCCATGTCATAACCTTGCCAGTTGAGAACATGATCCGGAAGTCTGTTGGCTAGTGAGAATAAAGTGGGAATTAAACAACTGTATGAAAAAGTCACCAAAATAAGCCAGAGCTAGATGCTCAAGAACTGGTATTTTCCAGGAATTTGAGTGGAATGCTACAAGTAAACAATAATAGCAGTTGGCTTCAAGATTTAAGGGGGAGTTGGGGGTGGGTAGGAGATAGTTCAGTGGAATAAAAGCTTGTCTGACAAGTGCAAGGTTCTGAGTCCAATCCCTGGTACTAAAAAAAAAAAAAAAAATTAACTGGGAACAATACAAATATTGGAATAATAACCACAAAACTACATTAAGTTTTCTTCTTTTGCTTTTCTAAATATTCAGCAACTAGCTCCAGGGCCATGTCCTCAATAAATGTGTTTGTTGAAGGTAACAAAAAGATTTTTTGGAAATGTTCAAAAAAAAGAAGGGAGATGTTCTTTGCAGAAGATGAAATGTGTATTTAACAATGAAATCAGGGCTTTTGAACTCTTTTTTTTTTTTTTTGGTGGAACCAGGGATTGAACTCAGAACCTTGTGCTTGCCAGGGAAGCGCTTATTCCACTGAGCCATCTCCCCAGCCCTAAAATCAGGGCTTTTGAGTAGCAGATATGGAAGAATTATTGACAAAATGCAGATACCATGCAAAAGTAACAATCTTTCACCAGTCATGATTTGCCTGAAACAGGGTGTATCCAAAAGAATCCTTGTTAACTGAAAGTTCTCCAGTTCAGGTTTCTGCGCAGCGCTTTCCAGGGCTGTTATTGAAAAAAAAAAAAAAAAAAAGACTTCCAGTTCATCACTATAAGTGTTTCCCCACTTACTCCAAGAAAATCCTTTGGGACCAGGTGGTTCTGAAGACAGTAAGACATTTGAGTAGTTGTTTTGTTGGTAATTTTAAAAAATGAATCCCTCTGTAAAGAACAGTTTAACATCTGGCAGCAGGTCAGAGGTATCACTGACATTAACTATTCTGCTCTGGGTGATGATAGTCATAGCTACGAGGTAGAATCATGAGTTGACCTTTCAAAGCACGCCACTCAGCTGATGTGAGGCTATTTCCATTGGCTTGCAAGTAGAAAAAGTCATCAGAATCATCTAGTTAGGGGGCTGGGGAGATAGCTCAGGAGAATAAGCACTTATTTGGCAAATGCCAGGCCCTGAGTTCAGTCCCTGGTGCTGAAAAAAAAGTCATCTAGTTTGGGAAAATTGGATTCATCAAGTGAATCTTTGGCTGATAGCTGTTCAAGAGCGATGCTAACGTCATGTCAGGAATTTGGATTTGATATTTTGAGTGATCCAGAATTACTGTACTTTGTAAATAGAAAGTACTAAAAGGATGAAACCCTAAAAACAAAATGCTGTACACTTTATATCTTTTGTTCCAAAGGTGACTGAAATAGCAGGAAGACCAATAATAAAAGGGAGAGATTTCCTGGCAAACCCTAGTGAGGTAAAGCTAGGAGTTTAATCTTCCATTAATGCTGGGATAATTGCTCCAGCTGAAAGTGAAGAGAACTATTTTTTTTTTAATTTAAAAATAAACTTGGTACAACCAGGTGTGGTGGCACTTGCCTGTCATCCCAGCACTTACTTGGAAAGCTGAGGCAGGAGAAACCTTGCGAGTTCAAGACCAGCCTGCGCTACAAAGTTTGTTCAGGGCCAGCCTGAACTGCATAGTGACACCCTGTCTCAAAAAAAAAAAAAAAAAAAAAAAAAAAAA